ATGACCGAGTCTCTGTCTCTCTTTATCTCTGTTGGGCCCAAATCATCAAAGCCCATTTCGATATGGGCCTGGTTCTGTTTGAAACCGACGAAATCATAATTTGGTTATTTTATACATTCGAACATCTTGGAAATGTGTTAATCTCGAATTAAATTAATACTAGCCAGCTTTAACAGTAATCAACAAGTCCTTGAGCTTTAACAGTAATCATCAAGTCGTTGGTAATATAAAAATCTTACAACTGACGAGGATTTGCTTTGGCTAATTGAATAATTGTATCAAATCTATAAAATGAATAAGAAAACAATCACGAGGTGGTCCTGTACACTGAATAGTAGTATATTAAAAAGAGTAATGAATGAATGTGACCACTACTTTAGAGTATTGGAAAAATTAAGAAAAGAGAACAAGGTAGAGGGGTAAAAACGAGATTTAATGCATGGAGAAAAGCAAAAGGCAACACACAACAAGAGTGTAATTATTCTTCTGCTATTGTTGAGATGCGTGAACAAAAAAATATATGAAAACAAGAATCTAGAGATACAGAGATTTATTTTATTTAAAGGTTTTTTCTTTCTTTCTGAGATCAGCGCAAACTAAAATGAGATTGAAAAAGATGATTTGGAAACCGACATGTAGGGAATCAGATGCTGCTTTTTCTCAACAAGACTCTTCTTCTCTCTCTTTTTCCTTTCTTCCTTGTCTTTTAGAAGAATTGTGATTGATGTTGATGGTGAAGATAATCATGTTTGATCATGATTCCCCCTAACATTCCTCTCTCTCTGTCTCCCTTTACCAATTTCCATTTTTTCCTTCATTTTTTAACTTCGTTTAACGTCACAATTGTGTTGTATGCTACTCTGGAAATCGTAACATAAGCATGAAAAATAAATTATTATAAATTGCGTGCTTTGTACATGCATGTGAAAATGAAAATAGAAAGGGTTGATATATATAAGATGCTTAAATCTTAATAATGCTTTATTCGTTTCCCCCTTAGATCGTGTGAAAGGTTGCATGTCTTTAGTTAGGTTTGCATGTTAGCTTCCTCCTTCCCTATTTATTGTCT